AATAATATCACTTTTCACATCTAAAATGTATGGGTTGGTCGGTTTAAGAAGTCCCTGAAAAGTACACTTGAGATTTTCCTAGTCCACAACTTTTGGAGGTATTAAATTTTACAGTCACATCGTGTATGAATTCTTCAGCCACAGAAAAAAAACGTGAAATTTGTAGATGCCGTCTTTTCTTTGTATTATTCTTGAAGGGTATTTGTAACTGGAATGTTCTTGGCCATTTTTTTTATCCATTAAGCAGGTATGCTGATTCATTTAATCGGTGATTCAGCTACCTCTCTTTTGTCGTTACCTGTGCATAAGTAGCCCCCAAGAAAGCTCACTAATCAGTGTTGTCTTACTCAAGTTTGACTTTACTTTAATCGTGCGATAGTGGCAAAGGAAAATGCCAAATAGTGGTACGTGCTGCACGTTCAGCGGTTTTGTCTTCCTTCTTAGATTTTGCTGCTATTTTATTTTCTCGCTTTCTTCTTCACTGTCGTGTTTGCTTGAGCTCGCTTGTAGCGTTACCACGCAATTCTTCATTTGCGACCATTTCGTTGAAGACCCAACTACCATGGGTGCCAGAGGCGTTTCATGCGCGGTTTCCGGTTACGGTTAAGTCTTCTGCCGACGAGGCTCCTCGTCGCACGCGAAAAAAAACCTCTGGTACCCAGAGTAACGATTGGACGGAAAACGCGCAAATATTAAGTATGCAGTGTGAGCCTATCCATATAGCCTAAGTCTCTCTAGTAATCGGCTCCTGGTATAGAGTGTTCACTCTCACGTAGCCAGCATCTATGCAACTTTATCGGAACAAAAGAAAGGGTTTACATAAGAAAAGAGTTGATGGTTAGGGACGCCAACATGGCGGTGATTTCATTGTCCTAGAACACCAATATGGACTCCATGAAGTCAATTGAAAACACGTTATTGTTAACTAACAATCCTACTCCTTGACGTCAAAATGCAACGATAGAGTCCTTTAGATTCGAGGACAATTACGAGGAGGAGATTTGACTTAAAGTTTTCATTGTTTTTGTTAGTTTTGTGAAAGGTTTGAGCCCAGGAGTCATTTCAAAAGTAGGTTGAGTTTGATCGTCCGGGTGAACGTAGTCCTGAATAGGACTTACTTTTGTTGTTGACAGTGACTGACGTTTCGACAACCTGTGCGGTAGTCATCTTCAGAGTCAAAGTGAGTTGTATCACGTCAGTTGATGGTATTATACTCTAGTTATTGATCTGATTGGTCAATTACGTCGCGACGTTATTGGTCGTCTGTCAGTTAAGCCGTGATGTTATTGGCTATGAAGACTCGTAATCAGTAATTACTGTGTTTCGATCCGTCTATTGTCAAAGTTGCACAGTCGCCTATTGCTAGTCAAATTGTCAGTTCTCCAGTCGTTCTCTCGTAATTAGTTTTGCTAGATCTCGTCAATAAGTCGTTTGTACGGCGCTGGTAACTGTTGGCTACGATTCAGTGACGTTTGTTCTAAGTTAGTAAACCAGCTTTCTAAAGTGAGACGTTGATAGTAGTCTGTAGAATACGTTATACATGTCGCAGAGTCCCAGTCAATTTGATGTTTCGTCTTTAAATGGTGCTCAGCAATGTGATTGTTGACGTCACCATTCCTCGTCGCTCGTTTGTGTTGGATCAGTCGCGTGCTTAGGTTTATGCCGGTTTCAGCAATGTAAGAAGCCTGGCAGTCGCAGCATTTGATCTTGTATACTGCTCCCTGTCTGTCCTCCGGTTTGTCTTTGTCCTTGACATTAGTAAGCAGTCGCCGTAAAGTGGTTATCGGTTTGTGTGCAACACGTATATTGTAAAGTTGTAATATACGTGCAATAGTTTCAGAGGTGCCTCTGATATACGGTATGGTCGCTGTCGTAACAGGGACAGAGTTGGTCTGAGTGTTGGAACAAGACGAGACTGATTATCTTAACAACGTTTTTAGTAAGAACAATTACAACACGGACTTTGTTAGACGGAACACTCACAGTAACACTGATTCCAACACTTTGACCAACTCTGGCCCTGTTACGACAGCGACTATACCGTACATCAGAGGCACCTCAGAAACTATTGCCGTAAATTACAACCTTTAATTACAAATTATCGTGACTTTGATTCACAACGGTTTGTCTTGCTGTTATTTAGTATTTTACGAGTAGGTAGGCCACCAAGACTCTAATTTATCTCATTTTCTAGCTTACCCCTCCCAGCATCCCTTGCGTCAACACTAAACGTTCCCATGGTCTTTCTAATTTCTTTTGCTCGCAACCCCACGAGCAACTAAATGTTAAAACAACTGACGAAGGAAATCATTTTAGATTTCCGAAACCGGTCTTGCTATTTAAAACAGTTCTTAAATTAACCGCCCCCTGGTTGGCTCAGTTTGGAGAGCGCCGGTCTGCTCACACTGTTCACAGTCGCCTACTTACCGAGCATAGCCTGGGGATGAGTATAAAATATACTTAGGAAGTGGGGGAAGGTTGAACCCGATGCCTACACCCT